ACAACCAATCACCGTACTGACCGCTTCTAAAACTCATGCACGAGAATCGACGTAATCCATAGCAATGGTGCGTCACTCTTAGTTTACTCTTAGTGATTTATCCTTAGTATGAGTAGGTCTCAGCGGCTTTGTGAATAACTTTTAAGAAGAAACTCCTACGTAAAATGTTTTAGCGCGAGTTAGGAGCACTCCTAGCGGTAAGATAAAATGCTTTGTGAATACGGCCCCTGAACTCCTTCACCTGAGTTAGTGATAAAAAAAAACTACCAATAAAGTATGTCAGCAAGCAAAAACATGTGGGTTATGATTGGCATGAGGAGTGAAGGCAGTTCAAAACTTGCATCAGAACATCTAGAGCACTGACGATACTCAACAAAATGGTTGTGAACTCATCCAAGCTTCTGCAGTGCTACCATATCCTGCCAAACATGTTTTTTTAAAGAAACAGGCTTTTTGATTCACTGTTGTTAATCATTTATAGTTAAGTTATTCAGACAGTGAAGGTGACAGGAAGGAGCATTTGGCAACAACGGTTGAGTTTAGGAGTGACGATCACAAATGGTGTCAGCAAGCCAAGGAAATATTATCAAATCAGTTGTTCGGTGGATGCAGAATGCATGAGAGTTATACTCATCTGTGGCAGGGCTGTCGAAGCATAGGGAAATTATTTGAAGGCACAAGGAGTAACTGACTACCAAAAAACATTCAGAGACTTGAGATTGCTGTTGGTAGAAAGTTAACATTAATTCAAAGCTAGGCTAATGTTAATTATCTTTTTTTAAATACTGAAAACTATAAATGGACATCAAATGTTTTTGAGAGCGACTTTGTGTCGGTCCCTCTGCCCTATATTTACACTGGGATACGCTGTGTAAAATAGAAAGAAAAGCATTCTACTTCATGCTGTCAAAATAAGAATATACAACTATAACTGTGACCTATGTATGTATGTATGTATGTATGTATGTATGTAATGCACACAGAACTCATAACCGTTTTTAAGATATGCATTCCTGTCGGCCTTAAGAAAATATTCTTTATCTCTATTCTACAAAAGATTGACATTATGAAAATGAGTTGGTATATCATCTCCTCGTGAAAACAGCAAATACATTTTTCGTCTTAATTATGACTCTGATTATGGATTTGCATTAAAACACAAAGTAAAGGTCACTGACGATCTTAGCAATGCATCCTTCTTTGTGAACAGTCTTTGCTCAGGGTAGTGTTTAGTATTATGGAATATGTGTAATTAACTTTGGCTCTTTGTTGGAGTGTTTTCAGAAAATGCTGAAACAACATGCAGTCTATTTAAGCATTTCCCCTGATGGTCAAGCTTTTAAGCCACAGCCTAATGGATAATATTCTGAGACCTTGAAAGTTCAGTAACTTATTCAATATTATACGGTCTTAGGGTTTTAAACAAGAATGCACTCTAAAATGTATATAATAATTTAGAAAAAAATATGGCCTTATCCTTTATAAGGCAGAGAGAATAATGACCAAATTGTGAGAACCTACAAGTGTATCTTTCATGCGCTGAGTCTACAACACAAAGTGGAACTCAAAGCGGAAAAGATGGATGACTCCAAAAGACCAACAACTTAATCCCACAGCATTTAAAGCAGAACACAGAGATAAACAATAACAAGTGATTCCTCCCAATTTGGATAAGAACAACTCGGAATTCCAACATCAATCCTCTTGCTGCATTGCATACCTGCACAATATCTGATTAAAGGAGTTTTAGAAGCACAAATTCACAAAGTTTCCCCTTAGAGTCCAAAGGGACAAAGTCCAAGTTTATTCCTGGCAGCACATAGAACTATCGTGGCTAATGGTTAAGTAACCAGAAGTTATGTATGCCTTTATAAGATCAAGATAAGACAATTCCTTAATTGCCTTCTAATGCAGTAATGTTCGCATTACTCCAAATCGACTTCCAAATGTTGCATACATAATTATGTTAAGGAGAAGCCTTTACTTTAACGGCAACTAAAACCAACTAAGTTTTTCCTTACAAGTATTGGCAGTAATAAATGAAAAACTGAGATGGTTGAAATAAATGTGAACTAGGACACAGAAAAGAGAGAAGGTCCCCGCCAACTATGCAGTAGATAGAACAATATTTACTGGTAGTCGCTCATTTATCATTCAGGTTAGCAAACAGACTATCCAAGATTAAAGTTACACAGGATGTCTGTTAATTCTTGAGAATATAAAGCTATATTCTCACTGAAATAGTGATGCAGCATCGATCCTCAGTCAAATCTAAAAGCAAGGATGTCGAGATAACTGTGTGATTAAAATTAACCCTCATCATTGAACCGCAATTGAATGGAAAATTTGGTATTATTATAAAGAAATGCAATCATTTTAAAGTAAATCTCCTAAACTGGCAGATGACCTCAGCTGTGAAACAACATTTTTGGTGTTAACTCTAATGTAAAGCCATGTAGCCATGTAGAGCCAGCTTTTTAACTCACACTGCGATAATTACATGTTATTTTCACTGGAAATGATATCTTATTATGTACAAAAATATATAATTCAGATCGATCCCTTATAATTCTGCCCAAGCAAAAACAAAATCAGTCAATGGAATCCATCCGATATTTTTTACAGTCCTGTTTTCAGAGATATATTTATATACTCTTTTACATAACTCTCTACCAAGCTGTCATTCATCACAGCTAAAAACCTCCCATGAGCAAAATAGGGGCAATAAACCAAATCACTGCTATACCTTTATGTTATATGAAGAAAAAAATAGTTCTAAATGCCTGTACACACATGGATGCATATGTAACTTGTACCACGTTCAGAATAAATGAAATGTGGTTGCTGTAGGTAGCAGCTCTGAGCTTTTCCAATCAGTATCCCTGCCGCCAGTGAGGCTGGGGACCATTAGCACCAGCGAGCCAACTGAAATGACTGATGTGACATGACAGGGGCTTTCAAAGAAGCCGTCCTACCGTTTCAATCATTGTCATTCACACACATGCCTACCCTCTATTGCAGCTACCCTCAATAGGCAACCGGGTGCTTTCACATTGTTGTTTTACTTTCACAAAATGTCTTCATTCATTAATTTGAAAAATCATAGAGCCCATCACTTCAAATAAATATGCTTTTAAAGGTTGTCATCATCCTATATAGCCAATTACTGTTTGAGTTATAAAGTAATATAATTTAAACTCATCCTATGCATTATATTGATAAGCTACGTATTTAATATGAAGTGACAACTGACATTAAATAATCAATACATCAATAAAAGTGCATTAAGTATTCCATTAACATGCAAACAAAATCCATAATTGTCCAAATGTTGCCTTGATAAGAAATGGTATATTGAAGAATATGATGGGTTTGAAAAAAAAGCATTGTCGTTATTCTAATGGGCGTTGCCTCATGCCTAATCTCCATATCCCTTTGTATAAAATGGTGCACAATATGGTTAAAATGTGATCATGGTACAGCTTTAAGATATGAAGCCTAGGCTAGAATTGAAGTTTCACACATGTTGCAGAAGATTATTTTGACATTGCAAAGCAGGAGTGAACACTTATTGAGCTTTTAGGAACTGACTTATACTGAGAAATAACTCTTGCTTTTACAAAATATTATTCAAAAACGATAATCACCTACATACTGCCACACATAGATCAGCCATCTTAATAGTTATCACTATAGCAGATTAATAATTGAATGCCAAGTGAACACAACAGGCGAGTGGGAAGGACGCCTTCCTTCCACTTTCACATCAAACTTTTTTTTTATGCGAATTGAGTCATGCAGACAGAGGAAGCTATCAGTTCCCTACCTCTCTCCTCCTGCTTTCTGCCCCGGGTCTGGTGATGAGCGCCGTGTCACCGCACACCACGGCCGCGTCCTCCACGAACACGCAGTCCGGGAGCGACTCGTCCGCGGGGAGCTCCACCACCTTCAGCCCGAGCCTCGTCCCCAGGACCTGGACGTACGCCTCGTGCTCGCTCCGCGCCCCGGCCAGGTCCACCTCCGCCTGGCTGCTCCGGAGCGCTTCTTTGGCCAGGGACGCGGGGACTCCCCGGACGACGGCGTGGGTGTAATGACCAAAACCTGCCATTAAACCAGCCATTTTACCAGCCATGTTTTTGCTTCCCCTCTTCTTGGCACGCTCAAATCTGGAAAAAAAGAGGCTTGAAAAACACCCTAACTGACAACCCGACGAATGAATGAGAGAAACTACTAGCAGTTAACCCGATGCTGCCCGGCTTTATTATTTGTTCCGTGCTAGTTTGTTGGGTTTTTATTCTTTGTTTACAGTAGCCTGCTGCACACAGTGTCAATCAACCCTGCTCGAGTCTCCAGGCGAGCGACAGTGGTTCGGTGGCGCGCACAGACCATCACGTGTAGCCTACGAGTCTGTCAGCCCTGAGAGAGGCAGCCCAACAAGTGACAGTCAGACACACCGAGCACATTTCACATTTCACACTGCATCAGCAGAGCAGAGCCTGCGTGTCAAACTCTTTCAAGCTCTTATTAGTTTCCCATACATTGAAACACATTATGCCTCAATTGTTCTGCCTCTACCAGCCTTGAAAATATACGGAAAGTTTCATGACTTCGATCAGCAGAAATAACTTGCAACTATTCTGGTTGATTCATAATTTGAGTAAATGTTCCTTAATGTTGATGAGTTGATGCTCTTTCAGAATCAGAAACAGGTTTATTACCAGGTAGGATGACACGTTCGAGGAATTTGACTTGATGTCATGGTGCATAGCCTACATAAAAGTAAAATAAACATTAAAAACACAGATAGAGAACTATTTTAAGAAAACTATAATATCATTAAAAAATAATAAAACTTGTAAAAAATATAGCAGTATTTACATGTTGGTCCTATGTGATAATAAACTCTTTTAGGTTTAGGCTTTTTTAGGTTTTGGATTGTTGATTTAAGAAATTGTGATCAGCATGGTGTTCAACACTAGATCCAGCAATCGAATAATCCAAATAAATAAATAATAATAATTTAGCTGCAGCCAAATAATCAATAGTAAATGGCAACTTTCACTATCCACAGTGTTGTCTGTATTTGGACCACTTTGATATACCTTCAGAACATTTTCCTGTCAAATAGTAAGATTTATGGGCAGCGCGCTATAATATTTTTCATTTCATAGATATTTGATATCAATAAAACAATTAAGAATTTGTTAAGAAATTTGAGAAGCATATCTATTTTCTAAGCAGCGTTCTGTCCCGAGTCCCATGTCTTCTAGTTATTTGCAAAAATTGACACAATTTGGAAAGTATAATGACATTTTAGGGGTAAACAAACCTGAGAATTTGGTGACCTTTACTACAAACAACAAGGGTGTTATATTTGGATCTGCATACAGCTAAGGACATAAATTAGAGTAAGAAATGAATACCCACTTGATTCCCATGCTATTTTGTTATATACCGTTATAAATAAAAGCTCATCTCTATTTTTTGAACCTCAGCATTTGGAGACATATGTAAGTGATTCACTCTTGGCAGACTTTATGAAATAATGTACCCACACTTCACAGGCAAAGAAAATACAGAAAGAAGGATTTCTGCCTGTCCTGCAAAGGAAGCATAGGGCAAAAAGAGTGTGAAAGAAGATAATTGTGTGTGTATGTCTACAGGAGGAGGTATGGAGGGTGGAGAAAATGGTTTATATTCCCTATGGTGCCATCTTAGGAAAGTTTTGGGCCTGTTGGAACCGTCTGAATGGATGGAATGTTTCTCCAGACGTCCCAGAAGCACATTCTTCCACCGCGGGATCTCAGTTTGTCTTTTCTTGTTCCAAATTCACTCAATTATCCCTGACTGCTCTAAACATTCCTGGAGCCCCACATTCCTTTTTCCACTCCAGCCAGGATCACCAACCACCAGCACCCTCCTCCCAACACTAACACCTGCCCCCACCCAGACTTCTCATTCTTTTTTTTCCATCATTCCTCATCACGGATGGACGTGGCCCAAGAAAAGACCCTCTCTTTCTCTCTTCTCTCTCCATGCTGAGGAATTTGGGTTACTTTAGATGAAGGAAAGCCCTCATACTTCAGGCACACCTGGCTGGTACATTGTGCAGCTATAAAAGAAATGAGTGAAAGCAGACACGATCCTCCAGCTGCGGATGAAGCGGCACCAAAGCAGCACGTCTTATTTGCCTTGTATGATTGAACTTATGATGAGATCCTAGACGTCTAAAGTGACACAGTCGTGTGATTACACCAGGTGCTCAGGGCATATTTAACTCCAAGCAGTCAGGCAAATGTAACCTAATGAACACAGAGAATAATGTGATGAAATGACATGACATTATTAAAAAAAAAAGTTGAGGTTACCAGAAGGAAAGGATTGTATTTTGAGGTATTTCAATAACAGCTTCAATGTGGTCCGATACAAGTCAGAACATTTGAAATAAATGTCAATTCCATCAAGAGTGTTTTTAGCTTGATTCAAGTATAACTTAACATGTTTACATGCACACAAATTAATGACAGAAACCTCTTAGAGGATCTTGGTACTATCAACAAAGTTATTCTAGGAAAGAAATCACCAGCAAAACAAATAATATGTATTACTGGTTGATATAACATGTATGGCCTCTTCTCTCATGCGCCATTTCCATGCAGGCAAAGGCCTTGGAGCTTTGAACTTTCTTTCCCCACAGCTGTGTATTGGGATGACCCAGACAGTTGATTTGGCTCTCCCCAAATCAATGATAAAACAATCTCTTCATCAGATACTAACACAAAGCTGAAGCACAGCATCAGAGAGCACTCAGGACATCTGGGGACTATCTTATCAGGTGGATAGCTCCCTGGAGCCAATCACTCCCTGCTAGGAACAGAGCTTGCTTTGACTAGTTATCAAATGTTGATTATTATCTATAGGAATAGTTAAATGTTGAGGAGTGAGCATTAGAAGGTCAGAAATGGTTGGGCAGGAGCTGTAAGACGAAACTGCACAAGAACAAAGACAGAGATTTACTTTTTAAAATATGCACACTGCAGCTTTAAGCATAAATTGGCCCAAAAATAATCCTGGGGGAATACATGAAACAATAAATATGGCTGTATAAGATTTAGGAAATAGACCTCCTGAATAAATATATTTGTATTTAACTATGTCAAGATAACCAGGACAAAATGGCAGAACAAATCGATCAAGTCTGGATTGTGCCTTTTTCCTTTTAAATTGTTGTTAAAAGTTCAAATTTAAATATATGATTTACACAGTTCTGCTATTTCAGCTCTACTTTTCTGGAGAACTTGACGCGTTGGCCTCATCGTTGCCCTCTTTCACACGAGAGGGACCCATAACTCAGCCGACTTCCTGCTGCTCCATGAGCTGACACAGAAAGGAAGTGTTGCTAGTACACACTGCATACCAGTTATGACATTTATCTTCAATATAACACAATGGAATTCGTTGTTTAAACATTTCCGGCCGTTCTGTTCCATCTGTCACCTTGACATAAAAGGGAAGGTTGAGGGCCGCTCGCCACAAACTTCCTGAGAACCAATTCCAAGGGCCGCTCTCTCTTCAACTGCAAGTCCTCCTGGTGGGCTTTGACAATGTGTTGCCATTAGATCAAGCCACAGCATAACAAACAGTAATCTTTCAAACTTTGTTGAACAATGAAATAGCTTAAGCATCCTATCTGAGAGTTGTGGAGTTGCAGAAAACCACGCTAGAGAGCTTTGAGCATAATCCAATGATCATTTCTGTAAAGGAAAGAGACCCCCCTCCTCATTGTTTTGGGAGTGTGTCCTGTGTGTGTGCATGTGCGTGTGCATGTGCGTGTGCGTGTGCGTGTGTGTGTGTGTGTGTGTGTGTGTGTGTGTGTGTGTGTGTGTGTGTGTGTGTGTGTGTGTGTGTGTTTAACAGGGGTTAGCAGACTGCCTTAGTGGAAACTATTATGCCAGGGCAATTGCAACATGGAGACGCATGTCCAGCTTTTGGAATATTTCCTGACCTGAATGGGTAATTAAGGAATAAAGATTACGGCATGTTATTCTCCATTGACGTACAATGACAACACTGTTTCCTATTGCCGTAATACACGGGTGGATGCAGTGCTGCAGCCATATGCACACATCTACTCACATACAGTATGCACATACACACTGGAGACTTCAGGTCAACATAGCAGGGGAAAATTAACAAAACATGACATAGGACCTGCTGTCCAAACAGTACAGAGACATTAAAGGGGTATTCCATCAATTTAGTGTTTTCACTATGAGAGACAGTTAGGAAATAATTGACGGTCGGCATATCCTCACATTTAGTGCCTTACATAGGTCAGGCTTCAAAATGACTGGATGATACATATCCCATAATGCTTTGCATGTTTGTTAAACATTTGCTTCCTGGTAAATGCCTATGTGTTTCAACTTTTGTTATATATGTGAGGGTCCAAGGACAGTCATATTCATATTCTGTACTCTAAAGTCCACTGAGACAAATCTAAAATGTGTGATATTGGGCTATATAAATAAACTTTGATTGATTGACATTTCAAATTTATAATGCAGGCTTTACGTTTGAAATATTTATTTAGTCTAAAGACCCTAGCCAAGACAATGACATGTCAGGCTTTTTTTATTTCCTACAAAATGTTATTTTAAATTAAGTTTTCATAGATTGAGCACACTGTTCATGATGAGTACACTGGTGTTGATGTGTAAACGAATTAAGTGCCTTTTTAAAAATCTTGAACCTGACATGACTAATTACCATAATGCTGCTTGGAAATACACACAAGAGAGCATTGCACATGTGCTCATACAGACACACCCCCCATCTAAAAAGGGTGTGCACAGACAGGCACACCTCCATTTCCAATATTCACACAGACACATATGAATCTGTTCACAGTGTACAACATGAATATCATTTTAGATTTGTTCACATTTTGACATATATTCTTAAGATAAAACAGTAAACCACAACCAAATCCCAGACATTCCACCTGGAAAAAGAAGTCTGGGATACTAAAAGATTCAACATTCTTCCCAGTGTATCTTTTACTTATTCAGTAAAAAATAACTATGAGGAGTTATTCACTTTTGCTGAATAGGATCTGTTAGGAATCAAGTTCAGCTGCTATGACTCATATTCAAATAACGGGAGCACGGTGATGAGTATTTGTTTTATAGATAAAAGCCTATTCATAACTCGCAAGTCTCAGAATAAGTCGTCAGAATAAACTGAAAAAGCAAAAGTCCAAACTCACCGGAGAAGCTCTCCAGCCGCCTTGTTAACCGCAGCTGTCTGAGTGTTCCGTCATGTTAAGACTAGACGAGGTTACAAGGGAGAGAAATGAAATGTCCGATCCATATAAACACAAATGAACATTGTGAAAAATGTCCTCTTTTGAATCTGCCAGCCTCCCATGGTAATAATAATGGTTTTATGCTGCGTCTTACACGCACTTCGTTTCCTTCTGGTGAAAGTGTTCATCAATCGGAATAATTTAGAAACTTCAGTGGAGGGGACTTATTGAGACAAAGACCAAGTTTTGTCTCCCCCCCACCAACACCACAACATCGCTGGTGGAAAATTGGATCACTTTACCTACAGCGGGACCCCCTCCGAAACGTGATGGACACATTGCGTGAAAAGTCAAATGGCCCCAAGGAGTGAATGCAAAGGAATTTCCCTGCATGAAGAACATATTTAACAAGCCTTTAAGCTGTCAGGAATGCTTTGTGGTCTGCTGGCCGAAGGGAGAGAAATATGTTAATAATGTAGGCTACTGCCATACCAAATATGGCAATATTGTTACGTCTGAGCTCTGGTGCGCATCTGGAAACGCTTAGCTCCTCTGAATAAAGGCACTGGAAAGACAGAAATAGACGCTGTAAACGTATTTCTGCCCACACCTTTAGACTCAGAGAAAAACCTAAAGCTATTTTAAACGTGGCCACTACAACATGCCATAACATGTGTATTTAGCTTATAGTTTTAATCAGCAATGGCATTTCTGACACACATATGACAACAAGACTAACATACAAGACTTTGTATAACTGATAATCACAATAGTATCTTAGTAAACGTATAACGTTTGCTAAACTTTTTACTTTAAGATATAGGCTACTATGGATTGTTTTATGATATTTCAATCAAAGGATAACAATAGCAAGAATTAAAGCTTAGAAACGGATAGACTGAAACTAAGGACCTATACGATATAAATAATCTATTTCACTCATGTGTCTTTAGAGTGGGAAGAATAACACTCATAATTGTAAAAGTTAGAATAAAGTAACCAAACGCCGCTACTTAGAAAAAAACCTCTGAACTTGAGTTGATAGATGTGAGAAGCGAGCAGAGGAAGAAAAATGAAAGGGGGATAAACAAGAAGGGAACAATGTGAGACGGAAAAGTGTGTTCAGATGGGATCCAGGGGGGGAAAATCCATTTGAGAAAGAAAAAAAAGAGAGAAAGGTTTAGACAGGGTGGAGCTTAGGTCTTGGATGGAAAATGCGCCGAGAAACATTCCTGGCATAGTTTGGGAACAGTTCAGCAGGCAGCCCAGGAACGACGTCAGCTTCCCACTACGGTATAAAAGTCCGGAGGTGGCTGGACCTCAGCAGACTGCAACCGCTTTACCGAGAGCCTCAACTACTTTAAAGGAGCCTCTAACACTAGAGACTACCAGCAAACAAATCAAGAGACAAGACGACTGAGCGAGGGAATACTTAAGGACTCCTCCGAAGACAAACTATACTTTTCATTAAACTGGGACCCGGATTCATCTTGAACACGCAGAATACATTTTATCCAAGATGCTGATGCTTACTGTTGTCGTTACCTTCCTTGGAAGCCTACATTTGGTGAGTTATTTCTCTATTTCAATCTAAACGAGAGTTTGTTTTGCAATCAGTCTGAGAGGGAAATAAGCTAATGTTTATTTTTTTAAACGGGAGGAATCCTGATGGATTTTCGATAGTTTTGGGGATATTTTGTATGGCATGAAAACGCTTCAGTGTTTAATGGAAGTGTTGATTGTTGGCTATACAGGTCCTCTCCTCCTCCTCCTGCCCCTCCGTGTGTGAGTGTCCATCGGAGATGCCCAAATGCGCACCCGGCGTCAGCGTCGTCCTGGACGGCTGCGGCTGCTGCAAAGTGTGCGCCAGGCAGCTGAACGAGGACTGCAGCCTGACCGAGCCTTGTGACCACACTAAAGGGCTGGAGTGTAACTTTGGGGCCAGCTTTGCTGCTGCTACTACTCGTGGCATCTGCCGAGGTATGTTCAAAGACCTTTTAGCTCCAGATGTGTATGCTTCTTAATTAGTATGGTGTTTTTGTTTTTTAAATAAGGGGGTTTCATTCAGGAGCATGGGGACTTGAGTGATTTCAGCACTGTGGAATGCAGATAGAAGGAAACTTAGACTAAACCTCAAAGTACAGACAGCCCACTGTGGAGGGAAAAAGACTCCTCAGGCAGCCTGAATAATTTCACAGTTTAACTGATCCTTACCTGGCAGCCATGTGATGTGTTCAGCAGACGCTCCTGAGCAGAGCAGGAAAGAATAACATTCCTTTCCTCCTGTTTTTCTCCCCTTGCAGCCAAGTCAGAGGGCAGACCATGCGAGTACAACAGCAGGATCTACCAGAACGGAGAGAGCTTCCAGCCCAACTGTAAACACCAGTGCACATGCATAGATGGCGCCGTGGGATGTGTGCCACTGTGCCCACAGGAGCTCTCCCTGCCCAAGCTGGGCTGTGCCAACCCCAGACTGGTCAAGGTAGCAGGCCAGTGCTGCGAAGAGTGGGTGTGTGATGATGGAAAGGACAGAGACATCCTGGAGAAGATCTTTGGCAAAGACATGATGACCGAAGAGTTGGAAAAAGATCTGACCAACAGGAATGAGCTCATCGCTATTGTGAAGGGAGGACTCAAGTCTCTACCTGGTAAGGAGGATGTCTTTCAGCTTGGAATTAAATAGTTTTTTACAACTGGATACATACATAGAACATACCAGAATGTAGGATTTTAAGATGCTAATGTTTTTTTCTTCTTCTTTCAATCACAGCCTTCAGACTAGAGCCTGAAGTCCACATGTTTGACAACCAGAAGTGCATCGTCCAAACCACACCCTGGTCCCAGTGCTCCAAGAGCTGTGGAACAGGCATCTCCACCAGAGTCACCAACAACAACAGCGAGTGCAAGCTGGTCAAAGAGACAAGAATCTGTGAAGTGCGGCCATGCACCCAGTCATCTTACTCCAATCTGAAGGTAAGCTTGACCCACCATGACTTAATGTGATGGAAAACAAGCATGCTACTGAAAATGCATCACTTCTGGGTCCTGAGTACATTGTTAATCTCCATGTTGTTTATTGCTCTGCAGAAAGGAAAGAAGTGCAGTAGAACCAAGAAGTCCAGCCAGCCGGTGAAGTTCACCTATGCCGGTTGCTCCAGCCTGAAGAAGTACAGGCCCAAGTACTGCGGCGCCTGCGTGGACGGTCGCTGCTGCAGCCCCCACGACACCAGAACCATCCGTGTCAAGTTCCGCTGCGAGGATGGCGAAACCTTCAACAAGAACATCATGATGATCGAGTCCTGCAAGTGCACCTACAACTGTCCCCATGCCAACGAAGCCTCCTACCCTTTCTACCGCCTCTCCAACGACATCCACAAGTTCAGAGATTGATTGGTGAACGTCCAGAACCCCTCAGACAAAAAAACAGAGCAGCACTGGCAGCCAGTGGCGGTCCAGATGAATGCAGGGGTGTAAATAGACTACCACCAATGAACTACCAACTTTGTGTTGTAACTAGATTCCCAAGGAATTGTGGGCTTACATCATGAGGACTAAATGAAGTGCACTGTTTGCTGTGACTAAGTCAGCATTCTTAACTAAAAACTGCTTCATATTAATGGAGCATCAGAAGTAGCTTCGTTATGGAGCAATATGTAATTTATATTTGTACATTTATGTTAGTGGCTGATATCAATTCACTGTGTATATGTTGGTCCTTTACTTCAGACATGACCCAGACTGTAGACTTGTGTGTGTATACTGATATGCACATACGCAACTTCAATTAGCAGACCATCCTGTACCTTCACAGCAAGACACCGAAATGTAACCTCTGGACTTGTATAACAAGTGTGTGGTTTCATTCCTTCCTGACGTGGGCATTATTGTTCATGTTTTGTGGCAGCTATTGAACTCCCTTCATGAAAAAGACAAAGCGAAACATGTCAAAGTATGAATGAATGTTTTTATTATTGTTATTATTATTATTATTATTATTATTTATCAAAAATGTAGCTACATTATTTGGATATTATGTGTCATACTGGAATAAATTGTAAAATGATTTAATTTTATATGCTACAAATAAAACTGATTTATTTATGAAATATGACACTGCCTGAGTACAGTCTGTTCAAACAAAATGTGATGCTAACATGCAGAAGGTATAAAAAAAAGCAAGACTCCCAAAGAAAATCCTCCAGCTATATCATTGTGTAGTCCCAACCGATTCTCAGACAGACACTGAGCAGGGTCAGTCTGTTCTTATATAACAACCATGGAGGCTATCTCCTGACTTTCTGTGCTTTGGAATGCTATTCTGCAGCGAGCTAGCTTGCGTTAATTTGATCTGGCTAAGCCATACACTTGACTGATTCTAAGAGAAAGAAAAAAAAAGATTAAGTCCACGAGTAGCAATGAGTATGGGAGTATGCCAAGAATCTTAAGTGCTGCTCTGAATGGGCTGGGATTAGACACCATGCAAGGGGGGACAATGAGTATTATTGTATACAATGGGTTGTATACAAAGAATTGCATTCCCGGGTACGTTTTTTTTTTTCACACAGCGGACTAGCAATTCCAAATTGACCTAATTCATTAGTAGTTGTCTTTTAAAGTGAATTAGTTGCATTGGCCTCTGTTGGCTCTTAAACTGCAGGGGTCTGCTAAACATGTTGTAAACAGCCCAGGCGAAGTAGGGAGGGCTTAAATCTGTCTAAATTTAACAGGCACCAAGAAATACTATTATGAGGTTGAAAATGAGGAAGCACAGGAAACAGGGGTAACATAGTTTCTTCGATGGTCATAGAAACCTCAAATTCAGTTTTCCAGCTCCTGAAACAATGTGTTGCTACCATCAGAAATAACACTTTACCCTTCCTCTGGTGTTGTCATAATTTATGTTTACCTGAACTCAGATTGGTCCAGCTTTAAAGTTGTATCACCCAAAGATACATGAAACCAGTGCAATATGAAATGCATAATTAAAGAGCACAATAAGTATCCGTCTGAAAAGGATGTGTGTTATTTTTCTTTTTGAGACATGCGATTTGATGGCAGATGCTTGCACCTGGTACAAATACCTACAGTGCAGTTTGTACTGGGGTAGGGAGAGCTCAGGGGCAACGACAGGGAAGGGTTTCTTTTTTGATCCAGGTAGAGGGAGTGGCTCAGGAATGCAGCAGTGGCTCAGAAAGCAGACATCCTGATGGGCGGCAGATGTTGGAAAATATTTCAGAGCAACATGTTCACTTTAGCTAAGAAGATTTTCCAAATGTACAAACACTCCCAAAGAGCTCACATGTATCAACTAAAGGCATTTAATCTTGTCACAAACAACAATAAAAACATGTCTATTTGGCACTCCTGAACAACATTTATGCACAGCTGCTGAAAACAAGTCTTAATTGGGTGTATTTAAATAGAGGTCTAGCGGAACACATTGCCTTTGATTGAGCAGCATACCACACAGGATGTGCCCACTGAGGTTTTACAGATTGCTCACATGAAAGGCTTCTGAGGTTTACCTAATCACAAAGATGTGTGGCTACCCCTTGCAGATCGGATTTACAGTCCAAACACTTCCAGGGAGACCCCTTTTTGCTCTTTGCTGCCCAAAAAAACAAAAACATTTCCATCTTGGTCATTCAGTGTTTGGAAAGTGCCGTGCAATCAGAAGTCATTTGTCTTGTTGACACAACGCAGCTAACTTGGTTATGTAATGGCATCTGTATGTTACGTGAGCAGTCCTTTCGGTCATCCGTAGCATTCCTTTATAATGTACAGACTAGCATAGTTCACATCCTTCAGTGTCCCTGCCAACGCAGCACAAACCTGTAAAATATATTGCTCTCAGACACACACGCAAACAAAGCTCTCACACACATGCGCCCCTGCAATTAAATCACTCAGTGGCTACCTCATTCCCTGAACCCCAAATGTTTTTATATGACAAAGACATTAGCATTAAAGCTCCATCAAGCACTACGTAATGCTGTGCAACCAGAAGCTAACGGGATTGAGAGTGGTCATTACAACATGCTGGAAGCTGCTGAGCACTGATGTCAGCTATTTAACAGCCCCCTTGTCTCTAACCTCAGATTAATATGCACTGTTATAAGGAACCCAGGGGCAAGAAGCATGGAGGGTTTAAGGCTGGCCAAAAGTACAAATGCAGAGGGACCAAGTTGTTTTAAAAAGCACCATCTGCTGGACTAAATAGGTAAAAACATTTGGTTGAAATTAAATAGACTTTTTACTCTTGCACATTCTTAATATTCATCATATGTGTTGGTGAAAATACTACAAATGATTATATTACTATGAATTTGCATATTAAATGTAACATTTCTCACTGAAACAAAGTGATGTAAAAGACATCCATTTGCCAAATCCTAACAGGGCGTGGGACCCTCTTGTTAAATCAGCATGAACACACACACACAACAATGACAGCAATGCAAGTCTCACAACACACCCATTAGGTCCACATCTGCAATTACATAAGAATAACTGATGAGCAGGCTTAGGGGAAAATCAGAGCTGATTCCCTCACAGGCTGTTGGATTGTTCCGAGGGTCCCCAGAGGGCTACTGGCTACTGGAGTGATTACTTTCTCAAACAGGCTGAGCATTGATGGGAGAGGCAGCACTGAGCCTTTGGGCGTCTTGAGTCTCAGCCTAATGGAGACAATGTTGGACTGAATCATCTCTAAGGGGGCAAATACAACGTCAACTTCAACAGCTGAGCTAATGTTGGCATATCTCTCCAACTGTTGTTTAACATGGGCAGAGCAATTACATCACAAAATCACATGCTGTAATTTTGCCTTCACTATTAAAATGTTTAAGGGATGTTAACACTACAGCTCTTTTTTTTAACAATTACAATTGGCTTCCAAAAGGGTTATAAAATGTGGACTCAGGATGGGAGGTTACGTAAAGTGAATGTTGAATCGAGTTTTTACATACATTTGTGCTGCATCTTCAACTTCAGCACAATGTCAAATTTGAATGTATACAGGCATTGAAAGTCTAAACTAAACACTATTTCATCACCTGTAGATTGTTGTATGATATAGTTACTTAATAGTGAGCTAATTCAAAGGAGATAAATGAAAAAAAGGACCAGAAAGTGACGCTTTTGACCACTACTCTCTAAAAAAGCTACCGCCTTCTATATTAAGAAATATGCTCTATTTGACAATTAAACTTGTTTCTAATTCTGGTCACATAAATGCAGAGAAGCTAGATCCTATCAGCATCATCCCTATAACTGACATGTAAAAAAAAAAGAAGAGATTTGAGAAGGGGTTGTTCTCTGGTCAGGAAAATGATTTTCTGCGGTTCCTATGGAACATTAAGTGACAAGAGTGATGTATTTTCCTTCTCTTTTGTCTCCCCCATGCTGGGTAATTGCAGGCTGGTTTCCACAATTGTGGCGAAATAAGGGCCAGTAAGGCCTTAGTCATTGCATTGCCACCCATTTTCCCCTGAAACACAATTCAGATTTCTTCTGCCTCTTTTGATCTGGAGTTAACAATGGTTGAGCCATGGAAATTGCTAATGAGTGGCAACTATGACTCGAGGCTTCGGCACTAAAAAGCGCCTGCTGGCCTCCCCCTGTCACAAACCACAGTAAAGTCACCTCACAAAGAAACAGATATAAATGTAAAAAAAGCACATTCACATGCTCTTACCAAATGTGGCCTTACATCTAGCAGTCTTAATTCTAGCGTCAGTAAAAACCAACAGATTTTGCAGCACAGATGGCACATTTGTGGTGACATTAAAGAAAACAATTTAAACACATGATGTTGCATAATTAAGTGTTAAGGTTCTCAACACATATCAAGCTTTCTGAATGTATTATCCCAGGCCAGGTAGGATATATAGAGTAATTCATTATAGCATATGGATCTGCTCCAGGGTTTCTTGCTATTGGACACTTCAAGAACACCTCTGCAGAGCTAAGATGCTTTAAACACCTCAGCTTCCTTCACTGCCAAAGAGCAGCATTCTCACTCCATGTTTCTTGATACGAGTGGGGGGATATAGTTCAAGGAGACAATTTCAATTCGAAATTCATAGGGTCCGTACAACCAGAAGAACTTTAAGTATCTCGGCCTGTGGAGTGAGACTATGGAACAGTGTGAATGTGGAGCTAAAGCAATGTCCAGACAACCAGTTCCAGAGGAAATACAGAGAAATCATTTTCTCGAGGTACAGGGATGGGGAAGGTGTTTGACTATGTGTATGTGTATATGTGTGAGTATGTAGGTGTGTATATGTATGTGTGCATATATGTATATCAGTGTATGTATGTGTATGTATATGTGTATATGTATATATGTCAATCAACAGATAAAGCCGATTAATAATATCAATAATAATGCATAAAAATGATAATTATTGTAGATAAGATGTAGATAGATTGTAATTATAAATAAATCATTTAGGGACAAGGGGGTGAGATTAAATAAGTTATACTTC